AAAAAGTTATATACGATATTTTGATCCCTATTTTTTGAACAATACATATACTATATAAATTCTAGGAGTACAATTATTAAGTCAAAAAAATCCCTGTCCGCCTTCAAAAAGAATTACCCATATATAAACAATCTTACAAAAAAAATAAGTTAATTAATTGTAACTTATTGCAATAAAATTAATTAATAATAAAAATGTTTTTTACAAAAATTTCGGATAATTTAGTATTTTATGTATAATATAATAGTAATTTATAAGCTCTAATAATTTCACCTGTATAATTCAAATATACAATAACTATAAAACCTAAATATTGCAGGCAGATAATAAAGTTTTTGCATTGATGCATTGCATTGCTCTTATATAATATTTGATTTCGCGCGTTTATCGCGTGATCAAGAGAAAAATCTTTATCTTAAAAAAATGAAATAATTAGTACAATTTTCTACTACATCAATTATAATACTAATTTAGATCTTTTATGATCGTCAATATATCTACGCCAATCCATAGTTTCTGGTTGCCATTCTCCATTATATATACACAGTATCTTCATTCTTTCATGATATTCAAGATCAGGTAATAGCTTAGGAGTAATTAAGAAGTATCTATCAAGCGATTATATTAAAATGTATGCATGAAAATAGCGGAAAAATAGCAATAGATAGTAATAATTATAAAATAAAGGCTTACTGCGAAGTATTTGGACGACAAGCAGTTTGAACCATTTGGCTGTGCACCAAACGCTCGTTCCGTGGGTCCATGCCTTGGTTAATTTCGTCAACAACACGGAATGGCGTCTTTGCCAATTCTTGTAATGACATTAAATACATTATTGTAGAAACTGATCGTTCCTATTAAAGTTCCAAGGAGTATTAATTAAAAAAACTGTGCTTGCAAAGGGTTTATCCAATAAAAGTCTACTTACACCTCCTGATTGACGTTGACCGGTAAGTACTTGAAGTCTTTCGTTATCCCTGTTAACAAGTTAATTTCACTGTCACTGATCACAAAATTATTTGGGATACAGTTATGCTATCGAGAACAAACCTAAATTTCACCAAAATGTCAATCCCCCATTTATCATAATCTTCATTAGTACTGACACGAACTTCTCCTACGCATCCAATTCCTATCGGGGACCAGAAATCACAAAGAATTAATAAGCACGAACATATAATTTAGTGTTTCAATAATAAATGAGACATGTATAAATAATAATGCTATCGAATGAATGGTAGATTAAGAAATGCTTACGATCGAAAGCGTTTGAAAATTCTTGACTAATTTTTTTCACCAGCTCATTTAATCTAGGCTCCCATTTTCCCTAAAAATTAATAAATAAATAAGTCATCAAACAAATTGTACTAGACATGCCAAAAAGTTTACTTTTAAGGTCGTCAATTCATCTGAAAGCTTTGTCAACTCTCTCGTTTTGGAAGACAATCTAGATTTGAGCGCTTCAATCTAACAATAAGATAACATAAGTTTGTTATCAGACAAATTTTCCTTCGACAATATAACAAATACCTCAGCTCTTCTACGTTCATAAGTTTCGATCACACGAGGGTTTACAACAATGTGCAAATCGGCCTTGGCACGTTCACTTGCGACTGCATCTTCAAGATCTTCAAGAGACATTCCATGACTTATCTGCAATTTGAAAAAAAAAAAAAAAATTGATGAACCTAATATAATTACTTTAGATGAAGATAATAAGATCGAGTACTTCTTGAAGTGCAAGCTTTGTCTCATCATCGACATCTTCAATTTTGGCGTTAGCTTCATTTAACAAACGTTTTGCTTCTGATTTAGCTGAGTTAAATTTATTGTCGACTTTGAAAAAGTAATCCTAATTTTAGCAAAGCTATATCTTTAAATGTTATTTTAACGTTGATAAATCCGTGAACATAAATACCTTCCATATATCTTGCATGAGCTTGCTTTAAGATCTCATCTCTGTCCTGCGTTCTCCTTTCCAGTTCATGAAGTTCAGATGAGTCGCGAATGTGTTGTAATGAAGCAATAATGCGATCAGAAAACAGCTGTACACTTTCTTGCAAAAGTTTCTGGCAATATAAAATTTTAAAATAATTTATTTCAGTGCACAAAATTGAATAAATATCACTTGTTACTAACTTGAAAATCCGTGACAAGTTGACCACGTTTCCTGGCGAATTCACGAATTTTTTCCTTCAGTTTTTTTTCATAGACTCGTCAGTAACTTTTGGTTGGTTTTGAAACATTTGGTTGAC